TCCTAAGCTTGCTGCTCTCTGCTATCGTTCTACCAATCCGGGTTCCATTATTGAATCCACTTTCTCCTACCCTGGCCTGGTAGTATGTCAGAGTCAATGTGAAGGCAGCAGTTAGCGTATTGGGGGAGAAGGAAAGTGCTACTTTCAGGGACCTCGCTAGTCAATGCAGAGGCAGCATCAATATATTTTAGATGGAATCCAGGCCAGCTGCATTCGATGATGTGAAGGTCACTGTAATAATGGAGCATTATGCGGACATGAGGAAGAGGCTGTAAACTAGGGAGAAAAGGGGAATCTTCCATAAGAATCCTCCTCTTCTCTTTAAAAAATAATATGAACTGTGGTCTCAAGTTGAAAAATATAAAAAGTCAGCATAATTTTCAACAAATCTGTGAGGCAGAAGCTTTAGTGTTGTCAAGCATTTGTCAGGAACTACACCACAGTTTTTTTTTTTTCTGGATCCCATATTTGCTCCAGTCCTTGTATAACTAAGCTGAGCATTTTTTGCCAGGCCTTTCTTGTCTTTCAGACATTTGTAACACAAGCCAGTTTTTCTGAGATTTAAAATTCAGCCGTGACTACAGGTTTCTAAATCTTAAAAGTTTAACTGTCTCGTACTAAGTTTTACTGTGGACATAACCTAGGAGATGTCAAACAGTGAACATTTGCAATGTTATCACAGTTAACAGAGATATTTAAGTAAGCTAAAATACTCCTGTGCTGCTTTACAGCAAAGCTTTGCTCTTTAAATGACAACCACCATGCTTAATTCTTCTGGAAGTCTGTAGCACACTGACTATAAATATTGTGTGTTAACTCCATTCTGCTGTCATCCAGGAGTTGCAGAAAGCTGTTGATAACCGTAAAGCTATCGTCCTGTCCATCAACCTATGCAGCTCTGAATTCACTCAGTCTGATAGTGAAGAAAGCAAGAAGCTTCAGGAGCGCCTCTCACAGATGAATGTGCGCTGGGAACATGTATGCAATATGATTGAAGAATGGCGCTGCTCTCTTCAGGATGCACTAATGCAATGCCAGGTCTGTATTGGAGTGTGGGGTCTCATCCTTTTCTTGGACATAATGAGGAATTCTAAAGATTGATGAGATTGCTACAAGTATAGAATACCTGGAACATGGACTTTACGGCACGTGCTTTAGGGAACACACAGACTGCATTTTAATTTGCAAGTGTACAGGCGAGCAGCATTAAGTTTGATCTCTTAGAGTAGGAGGCTATGAAGACAATGGTATCTGTGAAGTGTGTGTGGAGGGAGCTGATCATTTAAAAACAATATGAAGTCTGGCACTTAGTTAAAAGATGATTCTCCACAACCATATTCTGTATGTTAGCATTCACACCTATGCAAAACAACTGCAAAGTGAGTATAAACCACTACCGGATAATAACAATATTAATGCAATGATAGGGGTATCTGGCCCATGAAGTATTTGCAATAATACTGTAATAGAGTATAGGAATACAAGCCTTCAGACATATAGTAATATAATATAACCAGTTGAATCTCTTGTGGGAACTAGGGATGTGGCAGAAAACCACAACATAATTCAGGGTTCTCTTAAGCTCTCACATGCCTTTTGTAGGATTTCCATGAAATGAGCCACGGTTTGCTGCTTTGGTTGGAGAACATTGACAGAAGAAAAAATGAGATCTTACCGATTAATCCAAGCCAAGACTTGGATACTCTGCAGGATCATCACAGACTGCTAATGGTAGGATCATAAATGCCTGAAACATTTAAAGCCTTATAAAAAACTGACAAGCAGAGATAAGTTAGTTCTGGAGGGTAGTGACTGGTCTGTGAGGTATACTATACACTTAACCCTGTGGTACAAGGAAGATCAGGAATTCTCTTTAGCATAGGTAACGGCACTAATGAAATTGGTGGTTAAAAACATTTGGTTGAATGTGGAAAACATCTAATTATTTTATTGGCTGTTTGTTTTTTAGTTTTGGGTTGTTGTTTTGGAAAGGCTATTCTTAAAGGCAACTTGCTGAGCTAGACAGGATCTGCAAAATAGTCTACTGCTCATGATGTGATGTTTAGAAGAAATTGCCAAGTATTTATCACCTTTCTTCATTATAACTTTCCAGGATTTTAGGGTTAATGGAACTTTTTTTCAGATCATCTGTTGTGCATCCTAGAAACTGAAGTCATTGCCATCTGTCTGGGTTTTTGTTTCTGTGGAAGTTCTAGCATTCTCTTTCCTTTGTTTCATAATATTTAAGTGGAAAAATGTGATTCTTTGGCCTTGTAATAGCAAATCAGACGCGAGTTGCTAGAGTCTCAACTGAAAGTGGTGTCACTTCAAGATATGTCCTGCCAACTGCTGGTCAACGCTGAAGGCAAAGACTGCCTGGAAGCCAAAGAGAAGGTCCATGTCATTGGAAACAGACTCAAGCTCCTACTGAAGGAAGTCACACATTACATCAAGGACCTAGAGAAAATCTTAGACATTTCAAGCAGTCAACTGGTAAATCATTCTATTGTATTACTTCCTTTACCACTGATTGAGGGCTAGTTTTTTTTCATCACACTGATCTGTTTTAGATGATCAGCTGTGCAATACACTGTTGGCCCTTATTTTGTTGCTTAGGATGGTGATGGCTGTCTAAATTATATGAAATCTTTGTCAAATCTCCTCCATAATTTGTACTGTCCAGTAACTTTTCTATCTTTTAAGAACAGGAAAGTTACTGGACAGTTGCAAGGCCAGAAAAGAACACTGTGATCATCCAGTCTGACATTCTGAATAATATAGGCCAGAGAACATAATCCCCCAAAATTGCAAGAGCATATGTTTTAGAAGAACAGCCTATCTTGCTTTAAAATTGCCAGTGATGGGGAATCCAGCATGTCCCATAGTAAACTGTTTCAGTGGTTAAATTACCCCCACTGTTAGCTGACATCTGATTTCCAATTTGAACTTATTTGGATTCAGCTTCCCCCCTCAGCTGCTTACATTGCTGCCATTGATTCAGTCAACTGGCAAAATACACGCGGTAACTACTGTAAATGCAGTAGCTAAATCTATGGCGTATGAGTTATTACCACAGACTAAACAGCATCTACTCTTCTATTGACAGACTAATGCAAAAGCTTAAAATAAATTCTCTGGTGTGCTCACAAAGAGCCTGATTGTTTGTGTTTTCTTAGCTTTGGAAGTGTACTCCATAGCAGCACCAGTTATCTTGTAGATTAGAGTGTGGACAGAGGAAATATTATGCCCGTGTCTTCACTGTACATGGCCTCGTAATGCTCTCCTTAATTTTCAGTCCCTCTTCTTGTAATTTTCATAACCTGAATTAGCACAAAGTATGAAGAATGTGATCTGTTTTCAATCTGTCTAATGTCTCTCTTGCTCTCTGTCTCTATCTGTATAAAGTGATGTCTGGGATTCCAGTGGGAATTTTCACTGAGTACACAACACCTCCCTTTACCTTTTAAAAACTAATAAAGAGCTGTTGTTTTCTTGGTACTGCCCTTGCTTTACCTTAGGCAGTTAAATGTTGTTTCTGGCAGAGTATTCATTTGCTTTTCTTTCTCTTCGGATCCTAACATGTAATTTATAGTGATTTAATCCTACAGATTTGCATGGATTTAAATTGACCTTCATTCTGCTAAAACCAAGGGTTTCACTCTTTTTCTGAGTGTGGTTTCTTTGCAGGTAACTTATGTTCTTCTAATCTTTCATGATTCTGAACTTTAGGATTTGTCCTCATGGTCCTCTGCTGATGAACTGGACACTTCAGGATCCCTCAGTCCAGTATCTGGGAGAAGCACACCAAGCAGACAGAGAACGGTAATTTCATACCAGATACTTTCTATCACCTCTTGGGCAGGAGCACCAGATATTTACAGTAGTTGGAGCCAGCTGAGAAGTCTACAATATCTCCCTGATAGAAAAGAAAAAGGCACAAACCAAGAGTTCCCCTCAAACATAGCTGCTTCCCCGACCTTGCTTCATCTCTCTCCCTGCATGTAATCAGAATTAGAAAATGCTCTGTTTAAAATCTGGGTTCAACGTGTAGCTGGAGTTTTGTGGTATGGCGCACATTCGCTTGTATTCTGATCAAGCAATGGCAGCATCCCAAGGTCTGGTCTTGTCCCAGCACAGTTGCAGCCAATCCCTTTGCTTTCTACTTGGTATCCTCATAAAACTTCTTTATCAAGAACCTCAATAAAACTTTATTTTTATGATAGATTAAAGCTCTAGATGGAGCCAGATCTTATTGAGATTTCTGATAACAGGCTGCATAGAAAGCTTGTAAGGCATTGTCAGAAACACTGGAACAGAACCTGATCAATGGGTATGACAACAGCTCTAATGTTGATGTTGTCACCACTAGAACACAAAACTAGAAATACAGTATGCCATACTTCACTCAGCTCCTCTATGCTTTGACCCCTGAATAGAACTGGAAATTTTGTCTTTCTTTAGAGTTCTGTTGATTTATTTTAATTATTATTCAGTTTTCCTTAGCTCTTAACTATCGATTTTTTTTTCATTTGCACTTTTTATAAAACATCTGAGTTCTGTCCTGATGAACTTTGTGGTCTCTTGAAATTGATTTTGCTACATTCACTAGTTTTCTTTAGATCCTAGTTTGAGAATGTAAAGGAATACTGGCTTTTCAAAAGGGAAGAAAACAACTTAAAACATGAGCTTTTCATTTCTCAAGTCATTAGTTTCATTTTTATTGACCTTTTTAAAAAATTACTAATAAAAGTCAAGATGCCATAAAGTAGAAGATGCCTGCATACCACAGACAGTGATAAAAGTAATTTATTATAGAAAACTTTGGCTAAAGAATTAATAAAAATGTGTAACAGCATCTTACTCTTTTAATTTGTATTTGTTCACGTCTAACACAATACTGTGGCTTTAATTATATTATTTTCTTAATTTTGTCCATAATGTAATGTAACATGTAAAATTTCTGGGGATTGATTTAAAACTGGCCTCTCCTTTTTTTCATCTGTAATTTTGGAAACAAAAATTGGTTTCTCTTGGAATTCAAACGCTAAGCACATCACCAGTACAATATTTTTAGTAGTAATTTCCTAATATCCAACATTTTTGGCAGTTATCCATCAAAGCAGCATGAATTGTGCTAGAAAATAATTGCAAGTGCACTAATGAATCCACAATTATTTGGCCCTCAAAACTATGTGTGGAAAGAGAGAAGCCAAACTTTTTAAAAGTAGCATCTGGAATATAATTTTTGGTATTGTTTTCACATTACTTTAGCTGCAATTAAATATAATGCAGTGTTCCTTTCAATAAGATGAATTATCATTCATATTTCATATAGCAAAGTACTTGAGCTAAAAACTTCAACTTGATTTTTTTAAGCAAACCTAGTATGTATCATTTCAATGATTAAAATAAACTGTCAAGTTCCTTTTTATATTCAGCTGGGAGAAGAAAAGCCAGTTTCCTTGGTTCATGGATATTAGTCACTTCATTTGATTTTGTTTCCTTTGCTGCACTTTTAATTTTGTTTCATCAGTAGCTTGTCTTTATTTGCCTGGACTGAACATTCTTCTTTCTTTACCCCCTGTTCATTGCAAACAGCCACGGGGCAAATGTATTGTCTCACAGCCTGGACCCTCTGTCAGCAGTCCACATAGCAGGTACCTTATTCTCCTGGTTTCCGCACTCTGTTCTAGAATTATAAGAGGATGATGGAAATTACCCATGATGTTCAAAGGGACAGGAATTAACTGTTTCAAGTACAGAGTTCCTTTGTCAGCAGGATTCAGTTGCCACAACCAAAATATCTGTAAAGAGAAATGCTTGGTAATTCTTGAATACACATCTTTTGCATCCCATTAGCATCATTTAAATTTAAAATGTATTTGATCACATGAGTGTTCATTTGCATTCATAATATTGCTTATTACATTAAGACCTGATGAACAGAAACACCACCAGGTTCATGGCAAATACTTTTTATCATCCTCTTTATTTCTAGATATTAAGTTAAGGAAGGTATTAGACCAATACAATATTTTAGAATTTGTAAAACCCACAAATCTGGAGAAAATACACTAACATCCCCTCTCTTTTTTAATTTTGTTAATATTTTATTCAGTTTGTGGGTTTTCAGTTCTCATCACTTAAAATGAAAAGTCAGAATTTGAGAATTTTCATCCTAAAAAATGGTAGCATCTCTTCTCTCTGCAATTATGGAACTTCTTTGCAGATATAATACATTCATATTATGTGACACTTGACAAGTGCTTGCATCCACAAATCACTCTAGGAGCAGCACTACCCCATTTCTGGATGACCACTAGAGAGCAGACTTGCAGCTGCAGCTTTTTGCTTTCCACCTTGTCTCCCGCAATCTGTCATTTCTGCAACTAACAATGCTTCTGCATTCTCTGTTGTTGGTGTGATGTGTGTCCCTTCTCTCTTTTACTGATCAGTTCACGATGTCCTATAGAATAAACAAAAACAGGATTAGTATATTCAAGATTTGTAAGAATCCTATTCCAACATCTAGTAAGATGCAACAAGAATTTATACACCTGTCGTTTGAGGGGGAAGGTGAAAGTATATGTGGAACTGTAATCAAATTTACACTTTTTTTTGTCATCTGTGTAGTAAAACTAAGCTATTTCATTAAAATAGTTCTTGTTCAAATGACAGAAATTTTAGGTTTGAAGCTGAGACAAAATAGATTTAAACAGTGATTGAGCAAGTCAGACATTCAAAAAAAAGCCTTGAATGCACTTTGTACTTGATGACCTTTATTCCGTAAAGACAAACTATGCTTTTGCTGAACAAAGCAACAGCGTGAAATATGGGGGGAGGCAAAATCTGTTAACTTTTAAAACTAGTCAATTATCCAAATTATTACCAAGTAATATGCAATATAGCTGTGCCACTACACTATCAAAATCCATGTGATGTGTGGTAGGTAGAACATTTAGTCTTTCAGTGCTTCCAAGAAAGTAGATTGCTTTGTTGAAGGGAAAAAAAGTAAAATAGCATACAGAATAAGTGATATGTACTCAGACAAAATGACCCCAGTTCTCTGTTCTTCTCTCAATTGGAGAATCAGGGAGAATTTTTCTACCTCCGGTTAGTATAAAGCTTGGTATTATTCTGTTACTTATAGGAAAGGGGGAATGGAAACTTAATCTATGACCATTGACATCTAAGCTTATGGCTTTTTTATGAATCTGTCTGAGGAACAAAGTCTAAATCAGGCAGATAAGCATACTTGCACTAGCAATACTACAAAGGACTATGCTGTGTCTGCTCCTCCTTTCTCTGCTACATAAAAAGCCATCCCCTTTGAGAAGCCTTCTGTGTTGTAGAGGGGAGCAATTGGCCCAGTGTGCGTCTTAGCAGCGCTTTGCAGCTTTAGGATGAGCCCACATTCTGACAGTGGCATCTGTGCAGCACCTCTTAGATCCGCTCTTTTCAGCACTGTATATTAACACATCTCATAGCTGCTCAACACAATATTCAATTTGTCATTCAGACAAGCATGGAATACAAATGAGTTACTAGTGAATAGAAAACTTAATCAAATGCGCAAGCCAGACAGGTTGTGGTTGATGTGTAATGTGGTTTTAACTGATAAAACAGTACAAGCTGTCACTGTGTTCTTTAATATTTTGACATGCCTCTGATCAGAGTACTTCGTGTTTGATCTTGCACTGGATCAGCAAATCCTAATAGACTATAGTATAAGGGAGGACCAAAGAGAAATTAGAAATATTTATCCTGTAGGATTTTGCAATGGAAAGTTACCTACTTAAAAAATTAGAGGGATTTTTTAAATGAGCTTGATGACATTTTTGCCTTTCCATTATCATAGCGTATTTACTATATCCTGTCACATAATCTATGACTGTTTAGCAACATGTCCTCCCAAATTTCCAAATTACATTATGGAATGAATCTCACATTTTGTGAGGCAATATAAAGCTGTTGTGTGCTAATTAGGAAAAGCAAATCCCAAAAGCCCGTTTTCCCTTAGTCAGCTAAAACAGCTCTTAGAAAATGGACCTATGCCTGCATATTTTTTTCGAATGATTAAAATGTTAAAAACTCAAAAATTACGGTGCAAATTGCACCAATGTGTTTACCTTGTCTTTTGGGGGAGCTCTATTTGTGTTATGATCCTTCTGATCCAGTCCCTAGCTCCAAACAACGTTACCTCATGTCCAGCCTGGATTGATTAGCAAATTTATAAATTTAATTCTTGAACCGAACCAGACCACAGGATTCTTACTGATTTTGACTGCATAAAATCATAATAGCAGAAAGTGTGATGTACTAATGAGACCTGGACTCAGATCTCCATGGCTCTGTCCCCAGTTCTGCCTCTCACTATGCTTTTGGGCTTGTTAGATAAACTTCCTGGCTTTGTCTACACTTAAAAGTATAAAGTGCTGTCACGACAGTGCTTTAAACTAAAAGTGGAACCACAGCACAAGCTCTGGGCAAGAGCTCTCCCAAGTCTCTTTGTAAACCACCTTTATGAAAGGAGTAGCTAAAAGTGCTGCTCCCAGTGCTGTAGCCTGGTTCATACTGGTGCTTTACGGTGCTGTAACTTTCTGTGTTCGGAGGGGGGGGGGCCTGTGCCAGAAAGTTACAATACTATAAAGTGCCAGCCCCCTGTTTAACCACCTGTAAAATGGATATACTAATATTTACCATGTAAGCCAGATAACTTGGGGGGAAGGAGGGAGATGGAGTAGCCAATGTGGAACATGCAGTAACAGAAAACAGCTGATTTACTTGCAAACTGAGCAGTAAGGTGAAGTTACACAGGACCTGAAATGAGAATTCTCCCTGCTCACCTGGTAAGCCTGCATGATAACTTTCAGCTAATCTATTCAGAAGAGGCAAGAGAATAGCTCCAATCCGCCAGACTTTGCACACTCCATAGGTGAGAAATTCCTGCTATATGTAGCCTAAGTTCAAGACATCAGCGTTCTTGCATAGATGACTTGGTTTGACCGTAGGAAACATTGCAGTTGGTCAGATTTGCAGCTGTGCCTTCCACAATGTCTAGTCACTAGAATCTCTGTTAAGGGAGCAATGAACAGTTGTGAAGTGGTCTGACTTCAGTCCAAACTGAGCAGCTGTCAGCACAACAAATGGCTAAGAGTCTGAGAGAGAAGCCAGGGAATGCATGGGCAAGATAAATGAGCAACCCTTTTCCCAAAAGTAATAAACTGTATAGTATTTGAGCCTGATCCCCACCCACTGAAATTGATAGGGAGTTTTCCATTTGTTTCAATAGAAGCAAGTCTTAGGTAGCAGATGTTACCATTTAATCATCCCTTCCCATCCCATTAAATACTTTGAGCTGTGTATCCAGTTTTCCAGCACTATTAATGTGTCCATTATGGTATGAATATGTGTGATAATCAGCAGCTATGTCACTAAAGGAATACAGCACTTGAACTTTTTAAAACAGACCTTTGAAAGTCATTTCCTACAGAGGCAAATGTTTCATTCTTCACTTCTTGGATGGTTTCCAAACAGTATTAGCCATTAATGTTTATAACTCAGCTCTACTATTGCTATATTTTAAGATAATTAACTAGACTCGTCATAGAGCCTCTGTATGTTTCCTACCACTACCACCTTTTACTTTGAATGTTTTTATGTCTTTCAAGAAATATAAAAACCTATTCGCTGGTGCATTTCTGCTACCTTAGTCTTGAGAAGAGAGGAAAATTACAAGTTAATGAACCTGCCCACTCCTTTGATCTGTCTCTTGGAAATTCCCTTAGAGACCATTTTGGGTGCTCCAGGGAAACTTTCAGGTGGCATTAAGGTCATTGAGTAGCTATTGAAAAAAGACTGAGCTTTTCACGTCATGATCATTAACCCCAATGACACAACAAACTATGGCAGTTGTTGATGAGCTGTAAGCAACAGTGTTTATGCAAAAAGAGCCACGTAAGTAGGTGGACTGTGCAGTGAAATGCTTGGAAGGTAATTAAGCACTCGGTGTTCCTTTTGTTCCTACCTCAGCCCATTAACTCTCTGTGTTGGCATTCTTAGACAGTGAAAAGCCTGGTCTAATTGAACTTTAATATGGAATGCTCTGATGCTGTTAAATGTGCCATGTCCTTTCATTGCATTCTATATAATATATGATCTTACATGATGCAAGAATAAGCAGCTTTCCATTCTGGCTCCAATGTTGTGGATTTAAGCAATGTGCAAACTTTTGTTTTGATCTTGACCTTTTGATCTAATCATCCCAGTAAGTTAATCATTTAGTGGACCCGAATATTCAGCTCTCCATTTGTCAACTAAATATAAGGAAAAACTCCCTGTCTTCATTTTAAATCCTCAGCATGGGAAGGTAAATTATCTAGTAGTAACAAATGGTCACCTTAAGTAAGATATTGATAATTAGAGAATTTTAGTTATTATAGTGATCCAACAAGTACTTAAGAGGGTATATATCCATTACTATGAAAACCAAAATTCCCATCAAGCTTCCACATCTCCTATTGATTAAAAAATTGCTGTGGATTTTGGTGCTTAACTTTAGATATATGTATTAGAAAATGTTGATCTCAAGGCCCTCTTTTCTATAAGATACTGAGAGCAGGCTGTGACTTCCATCCTAGTAAT